ATTAATTAGATACGCCAAGCCGTTACACGTAAGAATGCCCTTATGTACGGTTTGTACAAACATTCATCTTATGTGTTAGTCTATATAAATATATATCTAACATTTAACAACTATAAAACATTTTAGTATCTACTGTGTTTACTGAATGTGATCGGGCATATCAGTATTCATACCTCGAATATCACTGATAACTTCTGACTACGCCTTTGAACTTTATCTATTGTAATTGTTCCGTAAAATATGCAATTTCGCCAACAACCCATAAGCTACCACCTACGTGTAGGATCCTTAGCTTAAAATTCCCCTAAACTAGCCCCTACATTAAATTTCGTTTTACCATCGTCTTTAAGCATCTAAATTTAGGGGGCCTTTTAACATTTAGGTGACCCCTAACTATCGGTGAAACAGAAACTGTTCCCTAACAGTCCCCTAACCATGCTTAGGGGATCCCTTAAACTTAGGTGACGTTGGTGAAATCGGGCATTAGACTTTAGAGAGAATTGCTTCTTACATGGACATTTTAGCAGAACCCAGAACCATACAGGACTTCCAACACTGTGGTATACAAAGAGGTTTCTTAGTTAAATTCTAATTTCGTATTCGCGACTTTTTAACATAAACTAAGTTAAGTAAATCTAGAGTGAATACATAAATATACACATAATATTACGAATTCGATCTGAGAACATATAAATATCAATTTTTTTAGTATACTATAACGAAATAAGAATGGCACTTTATATATGTAACGTAAAAAAGTTAATAACATTGGATCTTTAAAAATAACATAGATGTTAGCCTGTTGGTAAACTAGTTAAACTTAAAAGCCCTCTTTAGCCAAGTTACATGATTCTTAAGTCAAATATTGTATGCGAGTTGTATCATTGTATTCTCTTCCTCTAACTTTGAAAAGGTGAAGTGGAAAATGTGCAAAAAATAAAGGTAGTGGAGATTGCTAAATACTTTAAACGAAAATTTATTCACAGAATATAAGTGAAATATCTTTTAAGATACTAGATATTTTGAGTTACGATCACTAAAACTAAATTTGTTTTCCATAATATCTTTAAGATATAAAATGAAACAAGAACTTATTTTTGGAAATAATAAACTACGTATTGCGAAAACGTACAAATTTTATTTTAATGTGTAAATACATATTATTATGTTAGTAAAAACAACACAATATTCCAATAAATCATATTCACACATTTGAAAATAAGTATAACCATTAAATTATTAGTTATAGCATATAGTCAAAGAGTTTATTTATTTCCGACTGCGCGATGCAAAGGAGGGTAATGTGTTTATCAGCATAATATGTATGTATGTAAGTATGTATGTGTGTATGTGGGTACCTTGACGGCGCAAATGTCATAGAAAGCATAAAAATTGGGAAAAATAGCCGATTTTGGACGCCATAATATGAAAAAGAAAAAAATTAAAATCGACGAACTATGTCAAGTGGGGTATCGTTGAATAGGTATTTAAAAATAATTTTTAGATTTCTTTCATCATTTTTCATTTTAAATAACAGTTTGGGTTATATAATGATTTAAAGTTGGTTAATAACCATTTTCGCTAATTTTCCTAATTAAAAATACTTAAAAAAATAAAAATATATACAACTTATATGTTTTAAAGTAATTTAGGATAAAAAAATGCTAAATAGAACTTCAATGTCTAATTGGCAAAAAATGCTGTAAATAAAAAAAATATATTATAAAAATAAAAAAAAACCCGACTGCATAAAAGCTAATCAAAAACATAGGTATATTCCTTCGAGAACTTGTTTTCATCTTTTTAGTTAGCTTTTATTTAGTCGGCGTTTTTTTTTAATTTATAATATATTTTTTTACTTTATATTTTGAACGCGGGCAAAACCGCAAGCACTGCTAGTCGATCTATATAATATTTCTATGTCACGGAATTGCTCTACTTCACGACGAGAGTCGATACAAAGAGGAGTCGGTCGGGCGGATATTATTATTATTAAGTTTTCATTAATCGTTTTGTATATATTATATTCTGGTGCACTTTTATTTTTATTGTGTTTCGTCTAGTGCACGGGTAATATTTTTACTGGTTAGGTTAGTTTGCTTGCTAATTACCTTTATTCTTTATTACTTACTAGCAGAACCTGTGGCTTCGCTCGCGCTTAAACTACAAATACTCTAAAATTGTAGGTTTCATACAAACTTTCATCCGCTATTTTACCCCCTTATTGGATGAATTTCACACATATTTAATTAATTGTATTGAAGAGCATTTATACGAAGTTTCTAGTAATTCAGATCATAACTTTTTTTGGATTGTATCATAACGTGTTTTCCCGTGGAAAGAGATGATCTCCCGCGGTAAAAAGTGGCCTATATCACTTTCCAGCCCTCCAACTATGTCCACTCAAAAAATCACGCCAATCTGCCTAGCCGTTTCGACGTGAAAGAAAGGCAAACAAACAACCACACTTTCACATTTATAATATTAGTATGGATAGTCCTTTTAAATGAAGTATATTACCGTAATAATAGTCCCAATAATATGTCAACGCCCTAACGAATTTAGACCTAAAATATAATTTTTGTGATAATAATGTTATCAAAATTAGTGCATCTCACAATTCATAGCACGTGGCTATTAGCATTCTGAAAGACTTACAAAGAAACGATAATAAACGTTTAGAATTGAGAAGCTATTCTTTCTCTACGCCCTACGGCCTATCAATCTTTGAATGCGATCTTTTGCTAAAGAAAATCTATACTGTGATATAGAGTAGATATATTTCAAATTTTGTTAATGATGATTTATTTCATTGATAAACTATTACAATACTATTATACATTCAATATACCAATATACAAATTCTTAAAACCTTTTTTAAAATATAAAAAAAAATATGTAATTATATTTAAATAAAACTATCTTTTCGGATTATTATATTTATAAATAATTTATAAATAAATCCGCGAATTTAACTGAAAAGATAGTTTAAGTTAAAAATAGCATTGCCCGCGGCTTCGCCCGCGTTCAGATGACCAAAAACCAAGTTCTTAGGTTTTACATATTAGTATACTCTTACATTGCAGTTTTTGTATTTTTTCTCCGAAATGAGACATTTTCCTGCGGTAAAAAGTATCCTATATGTTGACCCGAATAACCAGCTATGATCATACCAAATTTCATCAAAATCCCTCCAGCGGTTTTTCTGTGATGCGGTACCAGACAGACAGACAGGCAGAAATACAGACAGACAGACAGACAAAAATTCTAAAATTTATAGATTCGGACTCTGTATCGATAATAATGTCTCTTTCAATTAGATTTTCCAAAAAATATTTAATGTACAGATTCGACTTAGTTACAATTTTATTATATGTATAGATTTATTATATGTATAGATTATGAGGTAAATTAGTTATAATGGAACTTTTACATACTTAATATATGTAAGTGTACAAAGGTCAGAAATATGTTGTGAAAATTGTTATTGTTGATGCTTTGATTGATTGATGCTTAATTATAATAACAGTTTAAGTATATATAAACAAACCAAATGTACACTTAATTATTACTGTACAAGTCATGTCCGCGTGGAATAGTGGCAAGAATTCTAGCCGCATTCCCCCGTTGAATGGCAATGCCGATACTCTGGGGGAAAAATTTGCCAGCTCTCCTGTCACCAGTAGAGGCGATAAAACGAGGTGTTATATCTTTTAAGAAGTGCTTAGCATTTGACCCCATGGGCTCAAGGGTTTCTACAGCAAATGTACTGTATATATTAATTACAAAACAAATTATAATGTATAAAAGATAGTATTAGTTGTTCCACTAACATAAATAATAAGTGAATGAATCATAAATGCAACATGTTCATCTTATTCCATCATAAACAAAATATTTTACTAGAAACTTATAAAACGTAATCTTTTGGTAGTAAATTATACGCCTTCCCACGCTTGATGTTTATTTGCGCAGTGTAAAATTGGATAAACTAAGGATTATTACCCATACCAACAAAGCAGGTTGAAAATATACATATATATTAGAGTGAAGTTATAAAACACGATACATCTTAAAACATATATTTTTATTAATATCCATACTTAATAATATTATAAATGTGAAAGTGTGTTTATTTGTTTGTTTGTCTTTCTTTCACGTCGATAAGAAAAGACGGATTGGCGTGATTTTTTGTGTGGAGATAGCTGGAGGGCTGGAGAGTGACATAGGTTACTTTTTACCCCGGGATATTACCTAATTTCTACGGGAAAACACGTTATAATACAACTCAAGAAAATATTTATGATCAGAATTACTTAAAACTTGGTATTAATGCTCTTCAATACAATTAAATAAATTCGTGTTTCAGCATTTTTCGAAATTATATGGGATCATTAATATAGGATCATAAGGGGGTAAAATAGGGGATGAATGTTTGTATGAAAACTACCTTTTTAGAGTTTATTTTTACAGTCGCGGGTTCTGGTAGTATCATTATAAATGAAATATCAGAACAGTATTGTGTATTTGTTGTTATCTCATAAGAGGTAAGTTATTACTGACAATTTTCTATATAAGATAACTTACATTTAACTTTGATATATTCATGGATGTTGCAGATACATATATACTAAAATACATATTAAATCATAGATACAAATAAAATGAACTGTAACTATACGTTAAATAAAAATCAAATAAACATCTTAAGCTAATATATAGATTAATTCAATGCAGTTCCGTGCAATTACAAACCACAGTATTAATAATCTAATCTTAACACAATAAGCCAAAGCTTTACATTGTAAGTAACGACCTATACATAGAATTACTTCCATACATATCGAGTATGTAGAGCCAAAATGAAAAAAAAAAACCCGGACTATATATTACTTATTAGCCGTTCGATAAAAAGATATATATATATATATATATATATATATATATATATATATATATATATATATATATATATATGATAAAAAAGTAAGAAAACTTACCGTTGAGTTTGTTGAGTTTGACAACATGGTTGTGGTGGAGAGAGGAGCAGAGTCAGGGTTGGCGATGGACAATTGTAGGATTCTTGCACGCATTGCGCAGGCGCATTTTGATCTTTTTCCTGATAGTATTGATAGTAATCGTAACAGCTGTAATCGCGATCGATTATAGACCAGTCGGCCATGTTTTATTCCTCGTGGTGTTTGACGAAGTACTTTGAATTGCACGCGTGCATCGTCCGTGGCATCGCGCGCGCACTGAGTGCCCCGCCCGCACCACCTCTCGGTCAAATAAACAACTGCAAATTCTTTATCTGCACCGAGTGATAACGACTAGGTACTACTGCTTTGTTATATTATTAGTGCTCTTAAAAATTATGCAACAACACTTTCAGCACTACATAAACAATTATATTAGAATAAATACAATAACATTTCACTTCTTAATCATACAATGGAAAATTACATGAAAATAATATGAGAAGTTCAATTGATAGATAACCTTTTAGTTATTGGGTATCGACCGGTGTCAGTGGTTAAGCTAAATATTGACAGACTGCAGGTGGCTTGATACATACGAATAAGGTTAATAACTATGGGACACACATACATAGTTGCATCAAAACACTCTTGTTTGTTTATAATTTCTGCAATCAGCAAATTAGACTTTGCTTGGCACTAAATGTAAAGGCGCAACTAATTTTCTATTACATCACTAATTTATTAATATGTATTAATAGAAGAGTGGCAATACATTTAAATACTTTATTAAAACTTGTATGCATTTATACTCGTATAGTGTACACTGAAGTATTTAAAATTCTCAACGTTTCTAACGTCACTTGTTAATTTAAACATTCATAATGAATATCCATATCCATACTTAATATTATAAATGTGAAAGTGTGTTTGTTTGTTTATTTGTTCGTTTGTCGTTCTTTCGACTGGCAGCAGATTGACAGATTGGCGGGATTTTTATATGGAAATAGTTGGAGGGCTGGAAATAGTAGGGGAGCCCAAGAGGGATTTTCTGTAGTTACTCGAGCGCGGCAGATTAACATAAAAGAGGTTACCTTGCACTCTATTGAGTACTTTCACCATAATATAAGTCTTCTATATAAAGGGGCGCGTCTAGGGAAGCCGATTAAAATATTTAAAAAATGTTTTGATAAGGTAGAAATACTTGAAACCGTCAGATTAAGGTGTGGTAGGCTAGTCACATCCTGAAAAGTGTCCAATTTAATAATCTGCCGATTTGCACAAGCCTAAGAGGCAAAAATCATCATAAACTTTATAGTCGATTTTAACTTTATAGGATACTTTTTCCGCGGGAAAATATCTAACTTCTGAGAAAAATAGAAAAACTGCAATGTAAGAGTATACTACTCGTAATATGTAAAACCTAAGAATTTGGTTTTTGGTCATCTGAACGCGGGCGGAGCCGCGGGCAATGCTAGTATATATACTACTAGACATGAATACGTCACGTAATTTTTACGTTACGGTTTCAATTCGCCATACACGCAATGAAATACAAACGACGATTATACGAGTACGTCATTTGGTTTTACGTATATATTGTTTTTTGTAGGCTTAATAATGTATGAAATGATAAAAATCTATAGTAAAACTTATCAATATAGTAACTTGTAATATTTATTATATACACACTGCAAGTATTTAAGACGTTGCGAAAACATAAGAAATGACGTTATAAATAATCTTAGAGTTAGAACCAAGATTGCGTAAATAATACGACCATTCCGCTAAACATTTTCGGTGAACCTGCTCCAGGGTGAGGTCAGAAATCAGCCAGGGTCACAATTTAAAGTCAACTGTGGGTTATTTTGTTATTTCAGGTCTCTCTCGACTGTACAGCCACAAGATTGTAGGTCTAATTCTTTCTCTTTTGCAGGTACTGATGTTTAGCACTCAAGATAATCTTACTAATATTTATATTAAAAAATAATATTTTATAATAATAATATTATTATAAAATGTGAAAGTTTAGATGTTTAGATGTTTGTTACTCAATCAAAAATAACGCGGCTGAACGGATCTGGATGAAATTTGGCACAGATATAGATTATAGCCTGTAATATCACATACGCTACTTTTTATCCCGGAAAAATGTACGATTCCCGCGGGATAGTTAATAATAATTAATAATAATGAAGACTGAAAATTAAATATCAAGACAAAGTCAAAACAAAATTTATTGTGTAATCAAAATTTATTTTAAAATATATCCGAAAATAACATTAAATTTTTTAGTAATAGTATAAAAATGTTTTAAAAGACAACAAAATCGAAAGTGCATAATAATTACAAGGCTTCCGCGACAACACTTAAAACAAAGAGAAACTAGCATTCCCAAGGAGGGTTGGCGTCAGGCAGGCGAGAGGCGGCCGGTCATAAAACTTTTGCCAAATCCTATCAGCAGTACAGTAGATGTACTGCGCCGACCCCAAGTGATTGGGAAATGGGCAGGGAGAAGAAGAAGAAGACTGAAAATTAAGAGAGAATTATCTAAGGAACAGCTTGAAATTATTTAATGAATGTCGAAGTGTTTATTTCTAAACCTCTTTTCCATGATAAATACAACAGAGTTTAATTTCATATTTTATTTCATCTTTGTAATATTACTTTGTTCCATTACAATCCGTTAAGTACTTTAGCTCGAGCCCATAAAAAGAAATAATATAAATCGTGGAAGCTAATTGCAATCTTTAATCTCAAAGTAAAGCTCTAAAGGGAAAATACCTTTATAGGTTACTAGCAGAAACCGCGGCTTCGCTCGCGCTAAAACTACAAAAAAAACTCATAGTTTCATACACACTTTCATCCCCTATTTTACCCCCTTATACGATGAAGACAGATGAGACACGTATTTAATTTAAATCTGATCATAATTTTTTTTTATTGTATTATAACGTGTTATCCCGTGGGAATTAGATAATCTTCGGGGGTAAAAAGTAGCTTATGTCACTCTCCAGTCCTCCAACTATTTTCACACAAAAAATCAATACATCACTCTGTTTCGACCTGAATGAAGGACAAACAAACAAACAAACAAACAAACACACTTTAACATTTATAATATTTCAATTTGTAAGTATGGATATTAATTATGCCTTAATCTAATTAATTAGAACATGATAGTAAATTTATGACAAAAACATAAAACTTGGTTTTATTTACTGAAGTATCGCTATTTTAAGAAATATAATATGGAAGTGTTATAAAAAATACGTATAAGAATAGTACCTCATATATTGATATTAGCAAGATTTTCACAAAAGAAATATTTCTTTATTTTTAAAAATAATTATAACTGCATTTAATTTAAAAGAAAAGATTACCTGAATCGGGAATCGAACCAAATAGAAATGCAAATAAGGACACCGTCACTATTTTATCGAATTATTCAAATCGATAAAATCCCTCGAACAAACATTGCGTCTTAGAATCGAAGCATGGATGAAGTCGAGTCAGGATTGATATGTGCTATTTGTAAGATTTCATCTTGTGCATTAATTGTAACATATATTAGATTGTTTATCCTTTCAATAGTATGTCTGTATGTATATTCGGCTATTTTATCGATTAGGTAATTCGGTGACGGTACCCTTTTTGCATTTAAGCAATAATCATAATAATCAGTAATCATAAATGTCAACAAATCGGGAAGACTTCTAGGAACGAACCCGAGCAAAGCGAGTGTGAGTCGCTAGTTCTTTATAACAAAGTAGGCATCTAACAAGCAAAGTAGCATCTACATTATAACATCAGAATAGTAATATTTGTAATATTACTATTATAATGTATTCTAATGGGATTTTAGAAAAGATGGAAAATTAGTTGCTGTAGTTTCCTTTTTAAATATCAAACGAGTACCTTACTTTTTATTATCCTGTTAAAAGCTTCCGAATTTGTCAGGCGAAAAATGGCTTAATTCAAAACCAACTCTCAACTCCGAGTGAAAGTAATAAGCTATTCAGTAAACTGTAGGTGTTTCATAGCAATCTAGAATTTAATATATGGCTGAGTCTAGACGCAAGGTAGGAGTCAACTTTTTATTAAGGTTCCGTACCCGAAGGTTGCCAACGGAAGTCGTGCCATCAGAGAGTTGAAATTTTCACAGAGTATGTATGTCTATTGCCGCAATAACAAATTATAAAATAGAAACGGGGTCTGTAAAATCGGAATTTCCTCGAAATCATTGCTAAGATTCCTATCCTTACATTATTTAATTTTATGTACGTACGTCCAAATTTTAACATATTAGATGCAGTTTGAGCCTTAGCAAAATGCTGGCAATTTATACAGCGTTAGTTATATTTTACTTATTGTTGAAAAATGCAAGTGCGAAATGTAATAAAAATTAAGTATACTAGTGCCATCTAGGGGTGACAAGTTATAAGCTATAATATAATAAGTTTCAAATGTGGACTTAATGCACGCTTTCCACATAGATGGCGTTACTAATTCTCGAAAAAATATATTTAGAAACTAAGGTTTACTGTTATTTTAAGTGCCAAACGTTTAATTGTATCTTTCGTATACTAGAATATTACACAAACACTGATATAATAGGAAAAACTAAATTTCCAAAAAATAATATTAATAGTGTCATTAGATAATATAATTGAAAGAATCGATTAAGTTTAATATCGATATTTAAAAATAAACAATATTTTATTTGTAAAAGTATCAAAAAAACAACATCCTCAGTTAAATATGAAAAAAAAATGAAATACCATTTAGGATGCGTGAAAAAAAAGAAATAAAATGACATTTCATGTCATTGACAAAGAGACAATTTTACGGAATTGATTTACTGTTGCGTTTTATATTTTTTAATTTATTTGTTATTATCCTATTTACGATTACGATTTCCGATAACAATATAATAACAAAATTTAAAGTTTATTTTAATATTATATAAAATTTGTTTTTTATACATCGATATTTATGCCTCAATCAGAGTATTGGCCTTTCAATAAATGTAAGACAGTGGAGCATATTGATGCTAATGGAGAAACGTCGGTACTAGTTAGTATGAATAATATGATATTCCCACTAATATTATAAAAGCGAATTATGTTTTTTTTTGCTAGGTACTTCTAAAGTACGGCTTAAGCTCAGCTTCTCCGGCTAAAGCTTACTTGACGTAAGCTATTTTATGCCATAGAAAAAGATATTATTATTATTTTATTGAAACCTATTTGAGATTCAAGTCTCTCAGGTCTTGCTACTTCAGTCTAGGCCCTCTTGACTTAAATAGTGGAAGTATCACACCATTAGGTGACTAATGCCCGATTTCACCAACGTCACCTAAGTTTAAGGGATCCCCTAAGCATGGTTAGGGGGCTGTTAGGGTACAGTTTCTGTTTTACCGACAGTTAGGGGTCGCGTAAATGTTAAAAGGCCCCCTAAATTTAGGTGCTCGAAATATGGGCTAAAAGGCGACGGTAAGACGAAATTTAATTTAGGGGCTAGTTTAGGGGAATTTTAAGCTAGGGATCCCATACGTAGGCGGTAGCTTATGGGTTGTTGGTCAAATCGGGCAAAAGGCAGGTTATCCTTCAAACTTTTAAGTAAAACTTCTAAACTATGAACATTATGAGTCATTTACGATTTTAGCAAAAGCAAGTTGGTGTTATGGAAGACGAAGTAAAAGAAATACAGATGGAACTGGCTGCTATTAGACGAGAAAGATTCTTTTTGAGCCGAAAAACAGCGGATGGAATAGTAAATTTTTAATTATTTATTAATATTATTACAAGAAGAAATTCCGATACTATTTTCTCATCACAAAACAATAGATATTTAATATCAATATCTATATTTATAACTATGAATTAAATGTTCATTTTTTTTCTCTCTGGGTAAACCCATAATAATCGCCAAAAGATGTCGACTATCAATACGGTAGTAAGACCCTACTTATTAAAATCCACATAGGTAGGTACTTATCACGTAATATTGGAACGTAGAATCGTTTTCTCACACACTACGACACCCCTGCGGAGTGTTCATCCTAAAGAATCACCTTGTGATAAATTTTTAAAATCATTCAATTGTTATAGAAACTTTGGCATAAAATCTCATACGCTTAGAGATATTCGGAAAATTAGATATTACGTATTTTAAATTAACATTTATTTGTGTACTTATATAAATTTATTGTTTTAGGAATCGGAAGAAACAGAGAAAAACGTAACATTGTATACAGAAACATCAAAAATGCAAAATGAATTGGACTGTATGAGAAATCCACAGGTAATTTAAGATACAAATTATTGTTGAGTTAAATTATTTCATAATTCCATCAATCATCATCATTTCATTCATCATCATCATTTACATAATAAAATATAACTTGATAACATAAATTAAGCAAATGTTTGTTATCTATATTAATATTCTAAAGAGATAAAGCTTGTGAGTGTGTGTTTGTGAAGGGGTAGGGGGTAATTTCTCGATCTACTGAACTGATTTAGATGAAATTTGGTATAATGGTAGCTGGTTATCCGGGTCAACAACAATCCTATATGGATACTTTTTACTGCGGGAAAATATCTCATCTCTGAAAAATCTATACTAAACGTTAAAACGTAACTAGGGACGAATCCGAGCATAGCGAGGTGAGTCGCTAGTCTTGATATATGGAAAATTTTATATATTTACGCCTATACATTATGAATAGCAAATCATTATTTATGCTAAACAAATCTCACACAGATGTCACAATTGCGAGAAGAATTGATAAGAGCTAAGAATTTGGCAGATGAAGAACGGTTTCAAAAAGAGAAGTATGAGAGAAAACTAAAAGATCTTGAACTAAAGCTTAATAATATATGTCATACAGAAATGACAGAAGTTAAAGTAAGTTTAACAATTTTTAAGTAATTATTATTAGTGATTAGGTACTGATGACCCAAAATAAAGCGGTCTATATATCTTCAAAGCTTTTTTTGGATCTGGTTTAGCTCCTCGTTGTGATTATGAGGCTAGATCTTAGACCTGCTAGAATTACACGAGTTATTCTATGTTTTTTATAATCAAATAAAACGCGCAGCTCTCGAGAAAGGCTGCATGATTTTAATGGATGTTTCGTATTATACTTACAAGTAACAGTCAAGAATACAGCTAAGTTTCTTTCAAATACACCAAAGCCAAAAATCTTACATAAATATTACATGGAATATATTGATCCATAATTCGATGATTATAATTATTGTGTCATACTGATGCTGTTTTGTGTACACGTTCAGTTTAATATTCAGGTGTCAAATTCAGATTAATTATCGCACAGTTAAAATGTTTTTATTAACTATACTGAAACCTGTTTCGATTTATTTAATGAAGAACATGGTGTTTTAATAACATAAAAAAAACCTTTTTATTAAGGCGGGTAAATGTACTTTTTTTTTTAAATGTATATTTTTTAAATGTATATTTTTTAAATGTATATTTTTTTTATGTATTTAAGACTAACTATTCAAGAAAAAATTTATAAGAATATTTACGCATCATGCATGAATATCATGCGTATTACTACTTTTTCTGAAGTCGGTTGATAAAAATTTTACTATCCAGATCTAAATCAAATCTTACTGGTATATATATATGTTTTTTTATATCTATTTTGATTGTTTTGAACAGAAATGTTGAATTTTGTTTACATATTATTTTAACTTTAAAAACACTTAAAATACCATCGTATAAGGTATTATATAATATAATTTTTATTTTTATATGAGTTCTATGCATAAGTTATATTTTTCAAGTAAAACTTCACACTAATTATTACTCTTTATGAGTCACAATAACAATGGAAACGTTCGTAACAATAGGAATTACGGAAATTCCCCGCCGAGGAAGTTACCGCTTTGAAGAAGGAACTGAGAGATTTGAAAGAAGAAACGGAAGAATTGAAAATATCGCTGAATGAAAAATCTGATGAAGCCCAAGAGTACCGTTTGAAGGTACTCCTTTAAAATATAATATTTATATAAAACAAGCGACTCACTCTCGCTCCGCTTGGGTTCGTCCCTACTTACGTTTTAACGTTTAGTATAGATTTCTCATATTGATATTTTCCCGCTATAAAAAGTATCCTTTATGTTGACCCGGACAACCAGCTATCACCATACCAAATTTCATCAAAATCCCTCCAGTGGTTTTTCCGTGATGCGGTAACAGACAGACAGACAAACAGACAGACACACAGACAGACAAAAATTCTAAAACCTATAGATTCCGCCTCAGTAACGATAATAATGTCTATTTCTACAGTCATCATGTCTATTTCTATATTTTACATAATATTATTGTACACAATTGAATAATATTGTGAAATAAGTGACATTTTACTTTTTTTCCACAGTTAAAAGTTTCCACACAATTACTCACCAACAAAACTATATTTTAATATTTAACTGACGCACAGTTAAGAGTTTAATATAATTTACGTAAATAGTTTTAAAACTTTAAAAAATAAATAATAATATAATTAATCCAACACATCTAGAGCTATCACTTGGTTTTCCTTTATCTGTATTACAAAATATATATTACCTAAGTATCATGATCTCGTTGTATTTTACCATATCACGTGTATTTCCTCTAAAGAGATGTTAAGGCGAAATATTTTCCCATAAACTTCTGCCATAAATCTATATATAAAAATCAATAGCCGTTCGTGAGTCTCGCTAAAACTCAAAAACGGCTGGAGCGTTTCAAGTAATTATTTTTTTGTTTTGTAGGGGTATTATTATTATTATTTATGTTGGGTGTGGTGCCGAGGTCGGCCCTAGCTACGTCGACCAGTTTTGGTCCATTGTAGCTTAGGGGTATGTCAAGGGTGGTTTAAGTATAAATAAATTAGAAATCTCAAAATAACTGCTGAAAAATCGGAAAACATTTGAACTGTTTATTTCGTATTAGAATCACTACTTCGGATTACTTTTAAATAGATGGCGTTATTGTGGACCTATCATCTAGATTCTAGAACAATGCGTAAAGTTTAAGTTGGAAAAAGTTTAGAACTGTTTATTATGTATGGGAGTCACTAACCGTTAAAACGTACTTAGGGTATAGGGACGAACCCGAGCGAAGCGAGGGTCAGTCGCTAGTCTATTATTATAAAGAGGAAAAACTTAATTTTTTGTTTGTCTGTTTGTACTGAATAGGCTCCAAAACTACTGAACTGATTTAAATTAAATATGATAAGGAGATAGTTTAAGACGCCGGGAAGGATATAGAATAGTTTTTATCCCGGAAACCATCCGTTAAGGGGGTGAAAATAGGGATGAAAGTATATGAGGAATCATTCTAGGGACGAACCCGAGTGAAGCGAGTGTGACTGTGAGTCGCTAGTAAGGTATAAAATGCAGAGAATTTATCAAATAGTACCTAGTAGTTCGAGAGGTTAGTATTTTAACACATAAAAATACAAATCAAGTTTACTTTTAAACACCTATTATGTATATACAGTCGTTTATAAAGATTTTTACTTATAGCATAGTTTATTATATAAATAATATCTCACCTTGCAGTATCTTCAAGCTCAGCAGCAGGTGGAAGAATTCAAAAGACAGATAGATGTGATAGATTTTGATAATAAACAAGTATCAGATCAAATACAAATTGAAATTCAGAAAATGAAGGTATAATATATTTATTTTTATATTCAACTAGCACTTAGCCTCTTTTCGCTCAGGTACTTAGCTAAGGTTGACTGATTTAGGCACGCATAAAAGACAAACATCCAAAGAAAAAAACTTTTTTTTTTGCACCAGGAACCTTCGCAGGCGTATACAGTATTATTAACCAGAGCTCTATCACAACAGGATCAACGTTTCGTTTAATAAATAAATAATTACAACACAGCACTATCTAGTTCCATGGTAAGCTACGAGGCTCGTGTTATGGATACCAGATAGTTGGTACACTACTTTAAATATCTAAATATTATGACTGAAGCACAAACATTCGTGCTCATCACACAAATGATACCCCTAGCGGGACTCGAACACTCGTCCCCTGGCACGGCAAGTAAGGACACCATACATTAGCCAAACGTGTCGTCAACGGTTTAGGTATGCATGAGAACAAACATAGGAACATTCATTTTATTTATATAGATAGAAGATAAATAACAACGTTTTTATTTGGAAATATACTGTTAAAAATTTTTTCACCGATTTCTAATAACAGGAATTCCGATGCATGTTATTTTTACCCAACTGCGGTGAAGCCCAAAGCAGGGTTGACCCGTATGTATGTTTCTCTGTTCCTATGTTCCCTCGTAATTAGATAACGGCTCATCCGATTTTGATGATTTATAAATCGTTAGATTCGTCTAGATAACGCGAGTATCTTAAGCTATACGGATATTATTAAAAATCAAAATGGCGGATTTAGGTGCTAATTTGTATATCTTTAAAACATTTTTAGACTAATCATAAAAATAAGTAAATCATAAAGAAACGAAAATAGATATAAAATAAATATATATGTATATGTGTAAGTATACAACTTACATGTTTAAATGAAATTTGGTATAAGAATTTGTTAAAGGAAGCCAAAACTAAAAAGCTGTAAGTAAATAAAAAATTAAATTATAAAAATTAAAAAAGAAAAACCTACATTATGAATGATTTATTTTGATGATTCTTGTTATATCTTCGCCAACTGGATACCAATTTTGATAAAACTTTTTTTTTGTAAATGCGTAGCTTATAGGTAGGTACTATTAAAATGTTCTCTATATATTTTTCTTAAATAAACATGCATTTTCGAAGTTGGTGTACGTTTTAAGTTAGAGAATTATAATCTTCTCGCGCTATACCATGTGATGTGAACAAAGGAGAAGTGAAACTAAAGTGTGAAAAATTGCACTCTTAGTGGTAGAGAATAATTGCCTTTTAAGTTCATAAAGGAGAAGTGTAGTGTACCTTTTTCTTAGAAAGCATTATTTATGTGTATAATTTTCAAAGTATTCATTTATTGGCGCTAAACGAGGCAATATATATATATATATATATATATATATATATATATATATATATATATATATATAATAAAATTCTAACTGAGTCAAATCTGTACATTAAATATTTTTTGGAAAATCTTATTGAAATAGACATTATTATCGATACAGAGGCCAAATGTATGGTTTTAGAATTTTTGTGTCTGTCTGCCTGTCTGTTACCGCATTACAGAAAAACTACTGGACAGATTTTGATGAAATTTTGTATGGTCATAGCTGATTATCCGGATCAACATATAGGATACTTTTTACTGCGGAAAAATATCTTATTTCTGAGAAAAAAATACAAAAACTGTAACGTAAGAGTATACTAATAATATGTAAAACCTAAGAATTATGTTTTTGGTCATCTGAACGCGGGCGGAGCCGCGGGCAGTGCTATTATATATATATATATATATATATATATATATATAATACTATAATATTACTACACTTATTTAAGCGACAGATAGCTGATGTTGTAAGGAGTAATTTAGTCTACTTTTACTTTACTTGGTACTTTTAACATTAAAACCCATGAAATTGTAAACAAGCCCGCGTACTAGGTACGCACTTACACGCAGCGAGGGTCAGTGGCTATTTTTATATAAAAGTATCTTTTCGGATTTTTTCGGGGATTATTTTGAATTTTTGGTTTGGTTCCTTAAAAATCCTTAGTCTCCCCCGTGACCATGATTGCTGTAAAGCGTTCGAAACGTCGGGAATCCAATCCAAAAACATTGTTTTATTTAAAGTGTACAAACTAATTAAATATATATATTCAATAATTGATTAATTACTAGTACATAGGTATCTTTCATACGCCAAATAAAATTGTCTTATGTGGTGGCTACGCTTCGGTGCATCTTTTTGTTCTTGATTACACATAAAGGTAAAGTTTTAAATAAACCTTTGTGCTTACTGGGAAATCCAATTAAATTAATCGTTTTTTCTCGCAATATTCGCTTAATTGCAGAGAAAAAATATTTTTATAAAATTGCAATATTACTTATTCTAACACGTTTGTTTATTATTGTCTTAAGGATAACTTGGTTTTAGGACTATTTTAAATATTCGTATTAAGTACGTGGGCGACCGAGTTTCGCTTGGCGTTTTTCGGAAAACATATAAAAATTCCGTTTTTTTTTTCGGAAAAGATACCTATACCTATAAGTGAACTTAAAAAGCAAAACCTTATCTGTATACAAAATTTGATTTAAATCGTTAGAGCTGTTTCCAACAAACACAAAATAAATTTATATATATACTAGCGCCTCACCCTCGTTTCGCCTCGGATTCGCCTCTAGAAAAACAAACACAAATCTAGCCCTCGGGAACCGTATATTTTTCCGGGATAAAAGCACTATATGATAATCCAGACTATAATCTCATCCATATTCATTCAGCCGTCTTGGCGTGAAAGAGTTACAAACGTACATAAATACTCACAAACTTTCACATTTATAATATTTATACAGATATTATACAGACTAGTGGTTCGGTCTAAGGTACTTTTTAACGGTTAGTATGGAATAGATGGACATATGATAGTATGATGAGTTATTGTGTGTTGTATTATAACGTGTTTTCCCATGGAAATGAGATAATCTCCCGCGGTAAAAAGTAGTTTATGTCACTCTCCAGGCCTCCCAACTACCTCCACCCAAACATCACGCCAATCCGTCAATCTGTTTCGACGTGAAAGAAGGACAAACAAACAAACAAATTCAAAGTCAAAGAGTATATCCTAAAAAAAGTGTCAAATCTACAAATTAATTCAAGTAGTTTATATTCATTTTAAGATTGTGTTCATAATTAGTATAAAGTAGTAGTCAGAAAGACGAATAAAGCGATTTTTTTCTAAAAAAAATTGTTTATCATTGAAATTTTTCCAATTTTTCTCGTCATATTCCTCGGACCTTCCTCGGACTTCTATGAATGTTTGAAAAAAAAACTAGCCGAATTGGTCAAGTCGTTCTGGAGTTTTGCGCTTAGCAACACATTCAGCGATTTATTTTTATTTATAAGAAGACAAGATTTGTTCTTTTTTGTATAATCTTATTACTATTATATATTTTAATCTATACTTTTTATATTTTAAATATTTTTAACTAGCAAATGTATGTCGGGAGACGGGATAAATCATTACAATTATCATTTTAATAATATTTTTATAATAAGCACATATGATAGCAAGTTTTTAAAATACATACCTACCACCTTCAACTACTTAACCACATATTTAATATTTTACATGTAATGGCTTCCTCTAACGGGTTTCAAAGATTAATATCTTTTAGTTTAGTCCACTTTTTCCTTATACTGCAAATTTTAAAGTTAAATTCACATGGTTGTTAACACAAAGTATTTTAGCCTGTCATTAGATTTTTGTTTCATTGTGTCTAGATTATACTGTCTCTATGCTTAAATTAAAGTACAGTTTTCGTAGTCTCTATACGAAACGTTCTTACGAATGAACTATATATAACAAAACTTGGCAGTCGATTTTAAGTTACTCGTAATTATCGTCTCGATATATAACTTTGATAGTAGGTACGTGTACTTCGGAAGGCAGTATAATAATATATGGATGGCTGAACCTATTGACACAGTTACTGTACGACTAATATAATTTTACTAGTCCAGGTATTGATTATTTAAAAAAAATTAAAAATTTTAAAAACCTCCGACACAAAAACCTAAGTTCCCTTTTAAAAGTAAAAAATTATAAAAAAAAACTCAATCGTAAAGTACCTAAGTATGTATTAATAATTTAAAAAAAAATACGTCGCGTTGGGGGACCGCTCCAAATTACTATTTATTATATACAATATTTTCGGTGTATCTCTTGTTCTCATTCCTTCAAAAATTTGAGCGTGTTCTGAAAAAAATACATTTGACACTTCAAACTCTTCTGATACTGTCCGACACCTAAAATTTTCGAGTTGGAACTGTTATCAAATCTTAAATAACACAAAGCAAAATTTATTATTTTATTGAGGATTCTGGGTTAAAATAAAAAAAAGACCTATTAAAACTATCCAACTGCGCAGAAGATATTATAGTGCACAAGTGTACGCACAGAAACAAGTGCACTCTCTATTCTTGTCACTCTCATACTCTGGTGGGACGACTAATTGACATGACCTGTGAGAGGTAAGGCACAGGACCGACGGCTTTACGTGCTCTCCGAGGCAAGGAGGTTAAACACAGCCAACTTCCGAACTCCGACCTGTTACTGAGTTGCTCACAAACAGAAAGACTTAATAACTAAACTTGGTCCGATCCGGGACTCGAACCCAGGACCTCCGGGTGTGCACCCGTACATGCTAGCCACTACACCACCGAAGCAGTTTTTTTTAATTATATGTTAGTCGTACAGTAACTGGATCAATAGTAACTTTATATTTAGATACCATCGAATTGATTTTGCGATGGAAACGAGAAGTTCACAGTAGAATTCTATAATAGTTAAAACTTTGTTTTGATTTTAATTCATTTAGGGAAAGTCAGTCATATAAGCGTGTCTTTTTAGTTGTCTGAAACTTAAATCATTTAGGTATATTAATGCACTCACATTAATAGATACAATTCCAAGAAAAGTTGCAAGAGCTAGCGCCTTTACCAGATTTGCTAAAGGGTGCTCAAATTCAACTTCAAGAAGCGAAGCAATTACAAAAGCTGGCTGAGGGCAGCTCGGAACAACTCTCTAATGAATTACAACGTGTCAAAGAAAAGGTATAATTACTTCAAACGTATTACAATAGAAAAAAAAATTAATTTCTCATATTAATAATGTGTTGACTAATTTGTATAAAATCGAATAACTCTAATACGAAAAATATCGAATACTATGAAAATATTTTCATAGTAAGTATTCGATATTTTTTCGTCTAATACGAAAAATATCGAATACTATGAAAATATTTATATTTTAGCTGTTAGGATTTAAGTTAGTTTTTTTGATCTGATATGTCTCTATTGTATTATAAACGAATGTTCCCGCGGTTTCACCAGTATCATTCATTTATAAATAACTAGCATTTGCAAGCATTTTTCCACGTAGTTTAAAAATAACCGATTTTCATACAAACTTCCAACCCCTTTTTATATACCTATTAAAGATACAAAAGTTATTTTTACAGTTTATTTTAGTTTATTATAGAGTATGTCTGTACACTGTATTGAATTTGGAATAATTTTCTTATAATAATTAGTTATATATAACATTACTAATTCAATATAATCAAAAAAATCTTGTTATTATCAATATTTTCTTTATAGCTGGTAATCGCTGTAAATAATTTAAGTATAGAAAAGGCGGATAGAGCAAAATTGTCTGAGGATAATAAAATGCTAAAGACCGAGACGGAACAAAAACAAATGGAAGTGGACGAACTGTCTAGAAATATAGACGAGTACAAGTAATTATTGTTTTATCTCATAAATATTATACATGCGAAAGTTTGGATGATAGTTACTCAATCACGCGAGAACGGCTGAACGGATCTGGATGAAATTTGGCACAGAGATAGATTATAGTTTGGACTAGCACATAGGTTACTTTTTATTCCGGAATTATGTACGTTTCTTGTGGAATATCCATACTAAATGTTAAAATTTACCTAGGGGCAAACCAGAGCGAAGTGAGGGTGAATCGCTAGTATCTGAATACATGTACAGTAAAAAGTGTCTCAATATATTATCACACTACGGTTTGTAATTGTGTGTACTCGTATCTCACGCTAATATGGCTGGTTGGTGTGGGTGAAGTATATCCACTAATATTATAAAGAGGTAAAGTTTGTGAGTTTGTGACGTTATAAGGAGTAATCTCTGGATCTACAGAACCGATTTAGATGAAATTTGGTAAGAAGATAGTTTGAGATCCTGGAAAGGACATAGGATACTTTTTATCCCGGAAATAATCCCTTAAGGGGGTGAAAATGGGGACGAAAGTTTGTATGGGGAATCAAGCCAAGGACGAATCCGAGCGAAGCGAGGGTGAATCGCTAGTAGAGTATAACTTTAGTTATATTATAACTTTAGTATAATGTAATTGGAAATGTTTTCCATTCGATTTTAAAAGATGAATATTAAGAATCGAAATGTTTATTATCAACAGTGGGTTCAATGGCTACTAAACTATACAATAGATGACAAATCGTATTATAATTCATTTGTAAAACAAATGATATATATATATATATATATATATATATATATATATAGCTGTTTTGTGTATATATATATATATATATATATATATATATATATATATATATATATATATATATATATAGCTGTTTTCTCTGATCGCTGTCTGTATGTAGAAGATATTTGAGAAACTATTATTGGGGAGTTGGAGATCTTTATTAATGCAATAGAACTCAAAACGATTGTTTTAAGAATTTTTGTTTGTATGTCTGTGCGTTTGTGCGCGCTAATCTCAGAAACGGCAGAAACGGCTTAACCAATTTGGGTACGGTTTTTACTAATGTTTTGTGGTAAGCTTGGTAGGTAAGCTTCACTTAACATTTAGTATTTGTTTTATTTCAATCGGTTCATAAATAAAAAAGTTATGTTAATTTAAAGAACCATGTAGGGACAAGCCCGAGCAAAGCGAGGATGAGTTGCTAGTATTTAATAAATATTTTAAAGGTCTACGATATTACGATTAGAAGAAAAACTGTCCCAACAAGAACTGAGGTACAAAGAAAAATCATTAGAATGTTCCCAAATCTTAAAAGATTTGGAGGAATTAAGGGAAGAGAGCAACAGATGTCTAACGCGAAGTAAAGAAAGATCTGACTCAATGAGACGTTATATGCAAATGCAGATTTCGGAGCTAGAACGACAGTTGATACAAAGTCGGGCACAATGTAGGGCGTGTCAAAAAGAACGGGATGATGTAAGTTAAATTTTTTATTAGAAAAGGTATAATGTTGAGATATTAACTTAAATAGTATAATGATACAAAAAGTTTCAGTGATTGTAATTTAAAATGGCGTCAAAATGCCTCAAAAGCTATTTTGTTGCACCTATTGTACAGGGATCGAACTTTTGTTAGTTTATATAAGACCTTCCTTAACCCCCTAATTAGTAGAAAAGAATTACGAGATTTGATTCGCAATGAGCAAAGATATCGTCTGACATACTTACCTACAAAATACAGACGAAATAACTACCTCTTCTTTGAAGTCGTCTTCGTCGTCAAATCGGCTCCATCTATACAAAAAATGATAACATGTCTTTTTCCTGATGTGGAACATCTTTTGGCGCGTCTTGGCAGTAAAGCCGTCTCGTGGTGTGACAACAAACGGTGGTCTGACGCTGTCATATATGTCATATATATCATGGCCCTTCTACGCCACCGCTCTCGACCCCCTTGTGCGTGCGCGTATACTGTACACGCTCCTTTGTAAAACGGTGTCTATTAAGAATACTTACATATTTTCTATTATATTTATGAATATTTGTATATGTAAATTATTATTGTTATAATTAAAATTAAATAGATTTCAGTAGCGAAACTCTCCTTTTTCATAAAAGTAAAGCATCACCAAGTAAAGTGGATTTATGCCCCAAAACGCGTATATCTAATATTTACACGTGGGAATCTCATTCGTAATATTATTACCATTTGCTACACAGTAAAGAGAAACATCGTGTGGAAAACTATTGAATAGAATCCAAATAATTTTCTAAAAATGTGTGAAGTCCATCAACCCACTTTCGAATCATCCTCATCGCATTGCAAAGGCTCGCAATCTTTCATTAAGAGGGTTGAATTTCATTATTATATCCAATGTAGAGCGTGTAAATGTAGAATTTTGGCTTTGTGTTAATATCCCATATTTTATATTACCTTTGATACATATTTTTATATCTTACTAACGAATCATCCTCCCTTCGCTCGAATTCATTTCTAGGTAAGTTTTAACGGTTATTATGGGATAGATATATATACATTATTAGTATATCATCATCTCCTTGCCCATTTCCTAAATTACCTACTTGGGGTCGGCGCAGTACGTCCGTTCTGCTAATTGGTTTTGGCTAACAAATCCGACCGGCCGCCTGCCTCATCTCAACCCTTTTTGGGAATGCTGTTGTTTGTCCAGCATCAAGCAAGAGACTTAAGGTGCGATGTCGCTAGACCCTTTAATCGTCTTCTACGACACCTACAGGAGGAGATGGGATAGCAATATTCTAAGCTGAGTGCTATACGGCTTTATATTAGTACTAGCGTTTTCCTGCGGCTCCGCCCGCATAGTACAGTAATCACCAACATATTATATACTAAAACCTTCTTCGAAACACGCTGCATCGTATGGTATGAGTACTAATCCGATCGGTTCAGTAGTTATCTCAGTATAACCGAACACAAAAATCAGCTCTTCATTTACTAGTATAATATATATATATATATATATATATGTGTGTGTGTGTTATATATATATATATATATATACGTGTGTGTGTGTGTATATATAATATAGTCGTAAATGGAGAGCTGATTTTTTTGTTCGGATACGAATGTTGAGTTTTATATCTATTACTTGAGAAATTATTGATTTCCCATATAAACTTTCATCTAAATCGGTTCAGTGGATTTTTAGTTTATCCATTACTACAAACAAACATACAAAAAAACTATTTTTTCCCTCTTTAATAGTAATATAAATAAGAAGCAATAAAGAACAAAAAGTCTTTAAGAACTTAATAGTCCTTAGTTCATACAATCTCTATCTAAAGTCCTTCAAAGTGATTTTAGTTTTAGAAACTTTTGTTACGTGTCACATCAAATACTACGTAAATATTGATAAACAATGTGTATTAATATAAGTATAAGCTTATTTAAATATTTCTATACATAGTGCTTAAAAGTGAAGTTAGGTATAGTTAATACCTAAAAGGTCTCCTGTGTTTCGTGATCAATATATCTTTGTAAGCGGCCGTGGTGTCACACTTATAGATTAAAATTAGAGATTAAATGCTAGCTACCACATACATTATTGTAAAGATATCATTTATATTGCCCAAGCAAAAAAAAAATCGACCATATATTAATCTATGCCGTCGGCGCAAAATTTTGCAATCGACAGGTTTGAAATATAATTTTATGTTACACTAGTGACTCACCCTCGCTCCGCTCGGGTTTATCTAGATATGTTTTAACATTTAGCATAGATTTCTCAGAGGTGAGACTTTTTCCCGAAGCAAAAAGTATCCTATACGTTGACACGTGATATCCAGCTATCATCATACTAAATTTCATCAAAATCAGTCCAGTCGTTTTCTCGTGATGCGTTTCCAGATAGATAGACAGACAAAAATTCTAAAAATTATAGATCGGTCTCTGTATCGATAATAATGACTGTTTCAATAACATTTTCCAAAACATTTTTAATGTACAGATTCGACTCAGAATTTTATTATATGTATAGAAGCATTATAGGTAGCCAATATGCGATGCTATAATATAATAAAACAAATTAAGAATTTGAAAAACCCACGATATTAAAGCGTACCTAATATGATTAATATAGCCGTCATATGTAACGTATCTTGCAGACTGTACATATTAAGTAGTATGGGTTTGGCAGTAGTTTTTTTGTTAACTAGCAGAACCCACGGCTTCGCTCGCGCTAAAACTACAAAAAAATATCTAAAAAGGTAGGTACATCCGTACAAACTTTCGTCCCCTATTTTACACCCTTATAGAATCAATTTCTAAAAATGCTGAAACACGTATTTATTTAATTTTATTGCATTAATACCAAGTTTCAAGTAACTCTTATCATAAATATTTTTATTATTAACATGTTTTCCCGTGGGAATTAGATCATCTCCGGTAAAAAGTAGTCTTTGTCAGTCTCCAGCCCTCCAACTATCTCGACACAAAAAATCACGCCAATGCGACTCTCCGTTTCGACGTGAAAGAAGGACAAACAAAGAAACAAACAAACAAACACACTTTCACATTTATAATATTAATATAGATTTTTTAAATTTTTAATTTATGTTTTATTTGTGGCTTTTTTAAATTTTAATAGTAAATGCAATACATTTATTTAACTTGAGTAGAGTTGTGTATACTATAGCGCCCCATGGCGGTCTGTAACATTATAAAAATTAGCTAAGACATGCTGGGGTGTGAGACTAAGCAAAAAACCGTTTCAAAATCGATTTAGCCGTTTCCAAGAAAAATGGAACAAACACACACACACACACACAAACACCTCTTACCTCAAACGCATCTACGGTCTCTACGTCTAAAAAGTTTAATTATTTCTTCTCATAATGTCATTATTATAAAATATACATTATCTCATTTAGATATACGACCTGCCGTCGGGGAGTTGTGGTTGAGTGCGTAAGCTATCCTGCAAAACCCCATTAAGACGGGATAGGTTTTGTTGGGTTTTAGTGGGTAGTACTGGCTTTTCTAGCCGGTGAATCCCACATAATCATCTTTATGTTTACAGATGATATATTATAATTAGCAACATTGAAAAAAAAAGGTCTTAGTGGATGAATCGAATTCAATTAGTTATTTTAATTTTATCAGAAATTTATAATTCTTTCATAGTATTCTGTCTTAACTGCTTTCCACTGCATTCTTAACTACCAACTTACCCTCGCTTCGCTCGGGTGCATCTCTATGTACATAATTCACAATTTCATGGATTTCAATTTGTTTGCGCGGAACCCTAATTATTTTTCAAAAATGAAAGTTACTCCTTGTAATATCAGCTAATTGCCAGTGAAAGTCCCGTCATCGTTTCGGAGATAGCCGAAAAAAACAGACAGACACACAGACAGACAAAAATTATAAAAAATGTTTTTTTTTTTATAAATGCCGTATTATATACTTTCATATATATATTAAGTATATATGCTGTTATTTTGAGTCTGATTACAAACAGCCACTTCAATTTTATTTATATGTATAGATGATATATTAAGAGAATTTCTTATTTTTCAGGTCCGTCAGCGTATACAGATTCAAGTGAACAATTTGCAAGAGAACTTTGATCTCGTGAAAATTCGGTTCCGAGCCATGCAAAACGAAGTAGCCGCACTAAAGAACACTTATGCTATTATTTTGACCGATGAAAATGATACGGATTACTCAAAAGTTATATCGACGTGAATAGATAGAAACTTTGTTGTTCAGTTAAATCACTACTTTTTGTACTTACCCATATTAAATACTAAAATTGTCTGATTTAGAACTTTTTTGTGGACGATTTCTAAATTTAACGTTGTAGCTATTAGTTACGTTTAAATTTTTAAAGGTCTATTGGCTTTCGTCAATATTTCCAAGCAAATAAAAGCTGTTTGTTTTATTTTGATTTTATCGCAAATTCCATGCTTTTCTTTTAGCGAGTTTATTTAGGAAGTATATATAATACGTATGTACTAACGATAAACAAAAAATATATTAAAAAGTTGGGTTATGTAGACAAATGGTGTACGATAATGAAAATAGGTAAATAAGACGGTTAAGGCAAAGTTTTTTTAATCTATATATTTTCTATTAAAAGACGAAACAGTGTAAATGACAGAAGGACAGCTTAAACCAAAATTTATAACATACTTGACGTCAAACAAACTTGTAGGTAGAGCGCTATTAAAATATAAAGTTTGCAGTACACTGAATAACTTTTAAAAACACTCAATTTTTTATATTATTTACTATGAAGTAAAGGCAATGCGAGGTAATATACACCTACGGAGACTATGCTAATATAGTTAATTTGTTTAATGATATGGTCAGAATTCTTGTACCGGGACTTATAGGAAGTCCTAAGCAATAACTCCTTTTATATTATTATAATATCTTGAAAATGCATTACATATGCACGTAGGTATTTACTGATGTATGAAATATGTATTTTTTACTTTTAATTAGGTAGGTACTTATTATAATAACCATCCTGGTTTTTTACTTTAAATTCAGTTCAGCACTTAAATTACCATTTTTAGTACACAGTTACACTAACACAACATATAGGTTTTACCGATATACTTAATATGGCAAGGAAGGTCATAGTGAAAAAATCTTTTTAAAATGGTAAATATAATAATTGACATAAATAACATAAAATATCTATCAATATTTAATGGTACTGTAAAATTTAACACACTGCAAATTCAATTTGATATATAAAAATCTCGTGTCACGGTGTTTGTGGTCGCACTCCTCCGAAACGGCTCGATCGATTTTAATGATTTTTTGTATATTTGATAGGTATGAAAATAGGTCGTAAACTATTTTTTACCCAACTAACCCCACGTCCCCCAATTTTTTAATCAAGTTTTCCCCCAAGAGTTTAGTATTTTTGTATGAACAATATTACAAAAATACATAGCACGAACCTGAGCGAAGCGAGGGTGAGTCGCTGTATAACAAAGTCAAAGAATTTTTTGTAGATTGAACGCGGGCGTAGCCGCGGGTTTTGCTAGTTTTTCCATAAAATATAAGTTAGATAAATAACTTAGTCCAGTTTTCAAGGCTTTCATATAATATGTACCTATACTCGTACTTATGATAAAACTAGGAATATTTTCATGATTACAAAGCCTAAACAACTATTATTTTATTTTTATATCTATATGTCTGTATGTACCTTCTCATCTCAAGACAAACCTGATGTTACCGATACAAGCTTTTTTTAATCCTCGTATCGTGAGCAAAACCGTGGGTAAGAGCTAATCTATAATTAATTCTCTTAAACTAAATCAATATTTGAATTTGGACGGATAAACTATAATTTACATTATTTAAGTGTTAAGCAATATAAAATACGGAACAAGATAAATAAGCAGTTTCCTTCAATGCCAGTTAGATTATATTGTAGGTGATTAAGACGAGATGGTTAATGTAGTGTACCTGAATAGTGTAATAATCTAATATTAGTGTTAAATGTAAGTGTGTTTGCAGACTAAAGGCCAGACGCTGAAAATTAAATATTAAAATAACTCGTAGAGTATGTTTATTAATTAAGTTGTCGTTTATTGTATACTACTCTAATGCAGATTAGCAGCCTACCTTCACATTGTATAGCTAATCTGAACGATAAGGTCAACGGCCACTGCCACTTCCCATTAGGTCTTGGAATTATATTATCATAAATGTATAATGCAAAAAGAGATTCCTATAAATAAATCATTTTTAATAAGTCCAAAATTAGACTTGGTGTTGTCACAACTCTCTGTTTGTAAGAGGACTGCAGCTAACTTCATCATGTCGTTTTTTTTCTGTCAGTGTGCGCGCGCATCGCAAACTTTACTTTCATATTTTTTTACAAACGTGCCAAAAAAAGTATAACTTTAAAGGACAATATTATGTAATCCCTGTATATTGTTTCCTATTGATAAGCATGTCTAAGTCTTAAGTTCTAAAATACGGTGCTAAGATTTTGCTAAAATAATTTAGCCTAGTTCGAAGTTATTAAGATAGCATAAATATATTAGGCCATTTTCAAAATAGGTTAAAATGAATAAAAACAAACTGAATATGCGTCTTGATTAAACATAGATACACATTACATATTATTATTATTAATATTTTCTAAAACCCTGGCCCACTTCAGGGGCCGTGCACCTTGCGGGTTGCTGTGGGAACAACCCGCTGGTTGTCTCAGCAGGTCTACTATCGGGGCAACATAGTTGAGTTCGTAACATTTTGTTACCCCATGGAAACTCGTTTGTATGTGTTTAAATGGCGGTATTAACATTGATTTAAATCAGATTTCTTCATTCTTTTAATTTTTTTATGATTAATGAGGTTATCAATTAGCACTTCAACAGAATTGCATAACACTTAACGCGAATTACGTGTAACACTTTCTTTCAAAAAGGTGCAGTTCCCACGGTCGAGGTTGGAAACTATACGAAAATTCTGTTGTAATGATATAGTTACTTAAAAGATTTTTATTTAATGGTTTTTTATTTAATGGCTAGCCCGAACAGAAGTAAAAGCAGATTCTGTTTATATTCTTATACAATAAATTCACATAGCTCCTATTTAATACTTAGCTCAAAATTGAAAAAAACTGTACATATAATAACATTTTAACCAAGTCGTATCTGCACATTAAATATTTTTTGAAAAATCTTGTTGAAATAGACATTATTATCGATACAGAGTCCCAATCTATAGTTTTTGTCTGGCTGTCTGTGACCGTATCATGAAAAACCACTGTAGGGATTTTGATAAAATTTGGTATGATGATAGCTGGTTATCCGGGTCAACATATAGGATACTTTTCACTGCTAGAAAATATCTCATCTCTGAGCAATCTAGACTAAGCTAATAATAATAAATTATTTATTTCTAAAAGGTTGTATGGTCAGATATTTGCGACTTAATAAAGCTAATTTGGTACGTATATTTGAAACATAGTATCTGCAGCTGAACCAGGAGCGACCTTTGCATCAACTGTCAGCGCCAAATCCCCAGGGTTAACCTAAATAAATATTAGTAAACAAGCAAAAATTAATTAATTAAATATCATCTAAAGAGTTTGTACTTTATGGTAACATAAATCTCCACTAATATAAAACACGTGTTATGGATTTATGATTATTTGAGAATCTACTTTGAATATAGTTATGAGTTTTCACTGGAACCCGAGAGACAGTTCTCAGCTAACTTCATCATGTCGCTTTGTGGCTGTCATATTTATTATATAAAATTTTACTCTCATATTTTTTCCAAACGTGTCAAAAGAAGTAGAACTTCAGAAACACATATTACGTTTTTTATGCTAAGTTATTACTTATACTGTACATACAAGATAATATCTTGTGTATGGGAAAAAAATAATAGAAGGTATATAGTATTAGAATCATATTTTTTAATATTCCTTCCGGGATAGTCAAACCGGCGTGTGCAAGCGCTACAATCTCTACATACAGTTTTCGCTTCTCACATTGTGATTCACATACACGCCCATCGAGGCGTCCTCACACTTTTGACCTGACCTTGTTTATAATATATCAATTATCTTAAGAGAGAAGGACGCATGCGACGTAGTTATATACGTATAACGTGGATCCAGTATTAATTTAAAAATAGTAATTTTATATCAGATAACAAAATAACTTGATGCACTAATGAGTCTAGATATACCTACTTGTTATCTTCCAACTAATCAGTACAAATAACAATTTAATTTGTTAACCTGAAAGGATTGTAATTTACGAATGTCTAAAGTCTACGTCGGTTATTTTTAGCGTAATCAGTGGAGTTGCATACTTGAAATGAACCCAACTTCGTCCATGCCCTTGTGTACTTTGAGGCCACACCTCTCATTCGTTCACTTAATGTCAATGTGCGATTCCGACATTTTTAATTAAAAAAAAAACTACTTTTATCATTCGTTTTTGATCTCTGCTCTCGATCTGGCATAATCCGTTCACTCATTACTCACGCATATTTTTTAGTACAACAATACTCTTTGTTTTTATATTCGCAACGAGAAGTTTTTGCAGTGGCTCTAGACGGTTCTAATTGTTTTAATTATATAAGGAAGTACCTTGCAGACGTGAATGTAGGTTTACATTTGTTTCACGAATAAATGTTCTATAAGTAAGCAAGTCAATGTCACGTTAATGAAATATGTATCGATTAATACTGAGAAACCTAGAAGATAAATGAACAGATATTTTTTACAACTCGAAGATATTGATGCGATTGAAGAACTCGAGGGAGCTAAATCTTATTACAGGTACTGAATCCGTGATTGGTTTAAAATATTCCCTTGTGTATAAAATTTCTTTGAAATCGTTTTATTATCTCTTAGAGATTTTAGACTTTATTAAGACGCGACAGAACGAATATTGCTCTTATAAATATTCATTTATCTATAAATTAATTGAATATGTATTAGATTTTTATTTACTTTAAGCCTTGTTTGTTTATACTTGGTATGTTATTATAACTACTAATACTATTACTGCAAGTACTCCAAGTATATGTATTAAAATAATTCTTCTACTTTAAAAGAGACCTTAATTTGTAAAATATTCAATTTTATCTTAATTTTTAATGGCTATAAAGAGTGTGTATTTTAGACATTTAAAATAGGTAAATACCGAAAATGTATTGATGTGTATAAAAATATATGATTTTGACCACCGATTGTAACGCAATACAAGGTTATGTTCTTCGAATGTATGTTTGTATGTATGAATATTCCTTTGGCACGCTCTGTAGCCTAAAGGTTTCATTGATTTTAGCTTGAGAGGTTATCGTTAGATTTATCTTAATTGTGAGAGTGACACTGCGTAGGTAAATCAAAATTATAAAAATTAATATGACCAACTTTTGACGCCATATTATGTGTTCAAAAATGATTTTTTTAGTCTAAATCTATCGATTAATGGCTTACAAAAATATAAACACTTTACAGTTTAAATGTAATTTGGAATGAGAAATGTTAAAAAACAATAAATATTTTTTTTTAAATAAAAAAACCTGACGACGGTTCATAGTATTATGCAGTCGGGGACATACATATATACTTGTGTGTATTTTCGTCAACTTGTTTTCATCTTATTAGTTCGCTTTTTACGCCGTTGAGTTTTTTTAATTATCGGAATAATTAAACGTGTTTATATTGAAATGTTATAGCTACTTATATATTATAGTTAATCTGATCAAGTTTTTTTTATCTACAGCAAACCTATTGCGTATGCTAACATTACAGACTTTTTAGTGATTTAAAATAATATTTCATCGCAAAAATGCTATATATAAAATTTTATTAAAAAATTGTTTGAATGTATTGCTAAATAACCAATGGTCCAATTATGAATCAATTAAAAAAGTTTTGGTAAGTGGCGATATATTTAGTCCAGGACGGAGAAAAAAATTAATAAAACAACAATTTTCACTCAAACACATATATTTCTGTTTGATTTTTTTTACTTTTTGGTGCTCCATTTTTTATTTATTTGTGTTTTTCATTAAATTATAAATTAATACTAATATAATAGTTAAGGTCTCGCGAACGGGCACAGCCTCCGTAAATGGGCAATCGGGAGCTCCGTGCGCCTTCCGAGGCCCGGGCAATGAGCTCGGCATAATAAATAATAAGGTACAAAAGGAATAACGAAGTACCATCCGATGGTTTCCACACTCGCATACACGCTCCACACGACAACAGTCTTACATCTATAATATCACTAGCTATACAAAGTACGGCGAGGCCGCGTGCACTGATCTGATTTTATAATGTAGGTAACTGGTTTACTCGAAGTGCGAGTCCTTGAGCTTCTTGATGGCGTTGGTGAGATGGAGCATCTCTGTGTTCAATTGCCAGATAAGAGTTTCCAACTTGTCCACGGAATCGAGAACTTCAACGCGCTCTGTGTGTGGGTTGAAGCGCACTTCGAATGGTCGGGACATGGTGGACACCCAGCGTCTGTATAACAAGTAATATTTGCGTTAATATACTTATTGTATTATAAAAATTGGATATATACTTTAAAGATTCATAAATTTTGAATTGTGTTTAATTGAATTTAAAGAAATTACCTGAATTTGTCTTTGGCATCTTCAAAGCTTTCAGCAACGTAATAGATTGGCTGGTATTCTTGATCTTGATAGGGCTGTACCGATGTGGAAGCAGGCTCGAAGGGCCTCAATTCAGGTTTGTCGCTAAGAGCGTGAAGCAGCTCGCCAATGGATGACAACAGAGCAGCGCCATATGCTTTCAGTTGATGGTTTTCTTTGCACAGGCCGAACTCAACGGTGAACCAGTAAACCTGGATAAGAAAGATTTGTTCATAGTCCATCTTTTCCTAATAAAAATGATTGCTCATTTCGCAATTGCTTGGGCCCAAAGAAAAAAAATCGCACAGCCATATATTTTATAATGTTAAAATGTCATCACAATTTTTTAAATATTTGTACATCAACTTACAGTGGAGAGCTTTTCAATTTCAGAATCAGAAGCGCCAAGTGAAGCAAGTCCGATCTCTTGAGAGAATTGAGCAAAGCTTGGGTCAGCCAGTAGAGGGATGTGCCCAAGGAGCTCATGAATGCAATCACTGAAAGCAAACACTTAACTTAATATTCCATGTTATTATCGATCACAGGAAGACCTGGCTGAAGGCCAACGTCAAAGTTTATGCAGACCATTAACTTAAATTCAATATAAGTGCATCAGTGCATCAAAGTACTTTGATCGATGCTCTTAACAGTCTCCCACGTATAATATTATTAAAGTGAAAACGCTTAATTCAATGAAAGTAGCCTTTGACGCTTATAACGTCTCGAACAGAGTCAAACTAAGTTACAAGCGACCCTTTAATAAAATTACTATTCCATCATGGCTCTTCGTTCACTCCTGTTGGAATCTAAAAGCTGTCAGTGTTTTAAAGTTAATTATGTTGTAATATTTTCGAGTCTTTTCTGGCTTTATATTTGCAAAGATCTTCAAATATATTAGTAATTAAGCTTGATATTGAGACATTATATGAATTTGTTCCAACTGGCAATTTTATACGATACGAGTACATAAGATATAATCTGTCAATATTTTATATCAGTGATATTATTAATGTTTATTATTTGCAACCTGTATTGAATTTGAGTTAAAGTAGTTTAACAAGTTAGCTGTAAATATTTCCGCATAAGATACTTGAGTAGTATGTAGTAAATTATTTATACATATTAACACGAAATACTTGTTTTTATAATCTTGTAAAAATATGTAGAATGCTCACAAATCTTAGATTGTATTATTCTTAGATAATAGAATACTTTTCATAAAATCACAGATACTTACGGTTCTGGAGTGTGGAATGGAGAGTTAGCGTGGCGAACATATTGTGTAGACTGGAAAACGCGGAAAGCGAGAGAAGCGAGGAAGTCCCGAGCAGTGAGCAGACCAGCGGCAGGGCGGAGAGTGAATCCAGTGTGCTTGCGTAGGAAGTTGCTCACATCCTCTAATTGGGGGATGCGGTGTGGGACAAAGATGTCTGCCGCTTGTAATTTGCTAAATGCAGCCTTGTACTCTCTGCAGGCGTGCTTGGGCATCAGGTCAAGCACGGTGTTGAATACTCGTTGCCAGGTAGAGTTCTCGCTTTCACTGTATTGGATAGATGGGATTTGGTCTCCATACTTGTAAGCGAAAGCGATCTCAGCAATTTGCTTTCTACGTTCCCTGTATTCCTTGTCAGCGAATCCTGGGTGGTTCATGTCGAGCTCTGGCTCGTATTTGGTCATTAGATGGTTGCAGTTGTCAAGATCGGATGCATGGCGTGGGAACCATGGGGTCTTGTTGGACATATTGTTTTCAGAAATCAAATTAACACCAACGAAAGATGTTGATTGACGTAGAGATCTGATCAGTTGCAGTAAGTTGGCGCGAGTCATGCTAACTTTCACAAGCGCATCGAATTGATTTCCGGGAACTTGAGAGGGGCGAGTTTCGAGATGTTCTACGCAACCCTTGTAGTTATCGATTGTTTTAAGGATGCGAGCGAGAGAACCCATGCCTTCGCGCATACGAAGAAGCAAAGCGGCTTGTTGGCTTGCCTGTTCGGCTTCTGGGCTCTCACTAGCGGCATTTTGCAATATTATCTCTTCCTCGGTCAGAGTATAATCTAATAAAAAGGAAAAAATATATTTATAATAATTAAATCTTAGTTATCATAATGTCTTGATATAAAGTGTATATTTGGATAGTTGTTAATATGAATTACTGTAAATACAAACCTTCATCGCCGTTAGTTTCACCGTCAGTAGCATCGGCATCTGTTTTAAAAAAAAGAACGAAAAACTAATATAAAATAAAATAAAATAAAATGAATCAAAATAAAACAAAAAGCTAAATAATTTAGACAAACTCTATAAAAGCAAAAAAATAAACACTTAAAGAAATTACCAGGGTGGCAGTTTTTAGTTTCATCATGTTGGATGCCATCTTCAACGGTCTTCCCGTCTTCACCTACATGAGCGGCGTCTTGGATGAAATCAGATTCCAAGCCAGAGTCTATTTATAAGATAAAAAAAATAAAATAATAAAAAAAAGAACTAAAGAAAGAACTAACTAAATAATAAAAAAATAATTAAAAAAATAGAAATGTTCCAATTACCATTAGCACGGGCACGAGCCTCTTCAAGCACACTTTGTTTGGTCTGTTTGACAACCAGTGTCTCGAAACGGGCGTCATCTACGAGCGAGCGACGGCGAGATGGGTAGCCGTTCTATAACAAAAAAAATCAAATTTTAATCATTACTCTGATCTTAAAATCAAAAATTACTCATTAAAAATCATTGTACAACAAAATATATGAAGCAAGCGTTAATTAATCGAATGAGGTGTTAATTATGCGAGAAGGTTAACACGAAATTTAACTAATTTAATATTCGATCCTATTACCGTGAAACATACGATTAAAGCTGAAGGCTATTCTAACATCTATAGAGGAATCCTAAAAATACGTGTTCTAAATCCTTATGAATATAAATCGGTCGTAATATATTATATGTGAGAGCAGGAATTGCTTTTATGGAGTTCCTAAGCTTATTTCCTGCGGTCGGGCGTAAAGTGCTGCCATTACTACCCCCCTCCCAAGCCGGATTTGAGATGAAGTCGCACAAAGGATCTCAGTTTTCTGGACCGCTGCGTCTCGATGGAACCAATTATATGTCGAGTGAACTTTTGATCAAGTCTGAAAGACTTGAAATGCTAAAAGCCTTTCACAATGTTTCTTACTAGACAAATTTATGCCAGCGATTTTACTTACAAACGACCTAATAGAGAAATAACGAATAATTTGATGTATTATAAATTTAAAAATACTTTAAAAAAAAAAACAAAAAAAAAGATTATCTTTTATGAAATGTTAAATGCGTTAATATGTTACGTGATTGTCTCGCATTTTTAATAAGTAGGTATTATGTCACAATTAGTCCGATAATTATTACTTTAATGGGCATTCTGGAGCAATATTTCTCACCGGTTTTACCAATTTTAAGTGACACTATTTCATTGCTGGAAAGTTTGTCCATGTTGTTGTTAATTTTAAGTATATATTCATCAGTTATCTAAACAGGTTCTCCTTTTATCGTATATAGTTTTATCTTTTATAAACAAACCGGTATTATATAAAACTGTGTAGTTACAACTTGATTTTTTTTTTAATTTTAACAATTGCGTAGAAGCTGTGCTAAGTGTGGCGGGATGTCCGAAATCATTTTCAGACGAGGGTCAAACGACATCGAGTGCAGCTCATGTGACCTGTTAAAACGCGTATCACTCTCCTGACGACGTGTTAATTGCTAAATCGTGTACTTTGTAGGATGACTTTTATAAATGATTGTATCCCGAGCAAAAATTAAATATTTAGTTCTCAATACTAACTAGGTTCTATTTCAGGACATAACGGCTGATGTAAAATTTAAGGCATTATTATTTAGTACTTTAAGTAGTACTTTTATATGAGTAGATATTGAATTGTTATATGTGATGCTTTTGCCTTCAGTGATACACGTACTATTAGGAATTTAATTGAAGGATCTTCAGAGGAAAGATTGCATCAAAGTTATCTCATTTTTCCTCTAACTTAGCATGTTTGTGATTGTCTTAGTAATTTTGTATCGGCCTCGGAATTCTATAAAAACAACTAAACTTGCCTTGACCATCTGATAAACATTACCGATAACGAGTATTTATTAGGAGTAACAAACATACAGAATCGTTTGGGAATCATTCAAATCAACTGAAACTAATAGACAATAATCTTGCCGCCACCACGCGTCCATTAAACCAGCGTATTTGTCCAGAAGTGTGAAGCTGATAACGAGGTGCGCGGCAGTCGAGACCTAGCATTTTCCACTAGAGTGGCTACGGTCCTATGTATGTCAAGGGTTACTAATCACACGCTTTTGTTACCTAGCCCCTGAAAAGGCCTGCTTTAAACTTGAGTATCCCAAATTTATAATTTTTAAACTGCCCTCTTATATTTAAATCCAAACTATAATTGTCCAAAATAAGCATTAATGATAAGATATTTTAATGTTGATACATTAATTTCGAAGGTAAACCTTTAAAACAGAGCAAAGGACACAACGGTGAAAGGATTCCTATCGAAAAATTGTTATATTGTGCCAAAAACGCAGAGAGAATGCAAATATAATGCCTAAGTGTCGATCTGTAATTCTATACCAACTCTATAGTGTCCTTACTATTAGAAAATCTAGGTTACAATAACTGTCATTAATTCTTTTGTGATTTATTATTTCTGCAAGTTATAATTTTAACTGTCCACGGTCTGTTTTAATTAATAACGTTTAAATTATGATAATTGTGCCAATTTAACAAACTATTACAGCGTAAATATTACTTGGATAAGTCTTAAGTTTGTTCTATTGAATGTAAATACCATATTTATAAGGTCAACAAAGTAATAATCAGATTTGAGAAAAATATATCACAAGTTCAAGTACAATGTAATAATTTTGTTATACGGACGTATAGTAAAATTTGTCCCCGTAAATTACGGAAACGTAGTCGTGCAAAGGTCCGGCTAGCTGGGATTGAATCCGGTTGGACAGCCTTGGTGCTTGAACGGCAACTTTACCCTTCCAATCCACGCTAATTACTGCCACCCTCACTATAACAGCCAAATTCACGCCTAATTATATTATACATTACTCGTATACATACACTTAATACGCATATATGGTACATATTTAAAATTTTCATATAGCTGGATAATTGTACTTTCTAAAAATTTGATAGCCACGTACAATTTAAGTAACAAAAAAGCTATTTTATATTATATGTTTATAAATGTTTTGAATGAATTTTTAATGTGTTTATTTCCGAATAAACACTCAGTTCGACCGCGAAACCGTCGGATGTTAGTTACCGTAATAAACGAAACACATTCACGGAAAAAAATTCAATGTCAACGAATTATATAAATTTATATAATTTTAAGAATATGTAATTTAAAATCACCTTAAATTAACCATAATACTACGGATACGCACGATTGCAGATCTAGCTAACATCTTAGTTTTTATGTTAATTTGACCGCGACGACTAACCTCGTTTGGTCAAGGCCATATCGCAGCCTCGAATTTGTTTCAGTCATCGGATTAAGTGATTCGCGTATTCTTAAATATATACCAGACGCATGTTTGGGAATTTTCTAGTTTTATTATTTAAATTTGAAAGTGTTTTTGTATTTGTTCATACAAATAGTTTGAATTTAACTATCTTTGCTTGCAGAGTTAGTGAGCGTCGCAACTCGCGCACCGACCTTCGATGGTCAAGGAAATACAATCATTCAAGCACCGATTATAAAATATACGTTAATCATAACACGTTAGCTACGAGCACGTTAACGTGAGACCTGGTTTTCGCACAGCACACTATTACGTGTAATCAACAAAAATCGCAACGCTCATTAAAATATAAAAATTTTACGAGGAATAATTTATACGATATATGTATCGTTTGGCTTATATATTTAAGTTGTTGAGGTCAAAGTAATATACTTTTATTACTTGTCTATATGTAAGGAGCCGGATTTTTGTCATTTAAAAACAGTTGAAACTTTAATTTCGATTATATAACTACTTTCATACAATTTTTTACTTAATCAATTCGCAATGAAATTTCGCAGAAGCCAAACTCTACAACAAAGCTATTGTTATTTAATTATATTTATAGTTGGGGCCTTCTGATAATGTTCATCGAGATGAGGTAAGTGCATTTACAGACGCCTTGAATATTGACAATAGTCATTAATCTCAAAGAACTTAATTGCAAGCGGATTTAATTAGTCCCTCATTCTCTGTAAACAAATAGTCGGTAATCTTTTCGAATTGCCCCAATAACTAAGAAATTTTTATGAGAATCTTACTTAGTACAATGGTTTGTTTAATTTAATATATTTTTACACGTAGTTACATCACTCGTGCAGTAATGTGAGAAAGCATCGTGCACTGAATAATAACGAATTTAAACATCTCATTGAAACGGATCAAAATGGCATGTAATTTTAAGTTTTTAATTATTGTAAGACGCGCCTCCAGTGAAAATCATATTTTTATACGCGTTGGACTCAACTTTGCGCGCTTTCACACGATTTCTTCGACATTCTCCCTTAATGTTGGAGCGTGTATTTTTATTGTTCTGACCAGACGGTTATATTTTGTTTTGGTTTATTTTTAAGTTTAAGTTAGGGTAGGTCGATCAATGGTTTGTTTTTGTATGTACGCTGGCTGCAACTATTGTTACGCGATACAAGGCCGATTGGAGATCTGACATGTAACAAGTAGGTAATAATGATTGAAGATGACGTGCGATTCTATGTGAAGGTCCAGTCTTATATACTTACGATTAGACCTTAACTTGCGTGCAATGCCCTCTTAAAAACCCATTAAAGACAGGTAGCGCGATGTTTTTTCTCATGTATTAAATAATATAATCGAACTTGACCTCTAACAGCGATTTGATAATACTTTAATTGCAAAAAATTAAAATAGTTACAAAAATAAGCTAGTATAAAGGAAACTTAAAGCCGCAATATTCCGCATATTTATAGAGAAAACTTAAAGAGCATCAATATCCCTAATCTGTTTAAGAGTAAAATAATATTTACGTATGTACATGAATAAGTACATTGAGACGTTCCCACGTTCTTAATTTGCTGGCAAAAATTTAATGTAGGTTACATTTAAAATGAGATAAAATATATGATGAATGTAATACATGCGCACAAAAAATTATAAAAAAATCAGGTAAAACCGTATGATAGTGATAAAAGTTAGTATGATGGAAAAATTGAAATTATTAAGCAAGTACTAAATTCAATAAAATTTTCATTGTTAATGTTTTAAGCGTGAAATTCAGCACAATTTACAAGCACTTCATAATATTGAGTTGCGTTGTTTTGAAAGCTGTTCAACTTTTTGACAGTTACAACAAATTTAAAACTCATGCAGAACTTTTGGCACAGATCCGTTAAGTTTAAAGTAACTTTTATAGCAATGCTAGTGAGATGTCATGATCCTCACCTCGATGCTGTAGGATTTCTTGATAGCGAACATTTCGCGGTTCTTCTGGGCAGCTGCGACGGCCATTGCTTCAAAACACACCACTTCAAAGAAGAGCCTGAACGTAAGAAGTTCACTGCGCGCTTAGCTAGCGTAACGTCTGCGAGAGCCTTTTTGTCTCGACCACGGGCTGAAGCCTGTCTGTCTACGACTTAAGCTGTCGTATTACGATGGCTAACTAAACTTCGGATTGCAAACAGACCAATGCATGATGACCGTTCGCAAGAACAGTTTAAATAGTGTTAGTCTCGCCTCCCACCCTCACCTTTCGTGCGCATGCGTCACAGCCCGCGCCCCGCGCGCTTGAGTCCTGCCGCGCGTCGCCACTGCGCTACCACCCTGACGATGTAGCCTTTGGATTTTTCAAATATAATATATTATTATAATAATTAAATAAATCTGTTAAATTCATTGGTATTCTATTAGATTTTTATTTATTCGAATCATTTTTAAAAAAAATATCTTCAATGAGTTTTATCACTTTTAGGTTAGGTATTTGAAAACCACTTGCTGGATTTTTATTAATTATATTTAGTATATAATAAAATCGCATTAATATGTTTTCTAATATTGTGCAATGACAAATATATAAGAGGAGTTATCATGAATTATTATTCTAAAATATTCAATAATTACAGAAAAATCTTCACGATACATATATATTTCGTATATTATGCATTAAGATCGCAATTACATATAAATTGATCTCTCAACAAAATTATGTGTTAAATTACTGCTCGTAATACAGATTGTACAATAGGCAAGTGCATCTGCATTCAAAGTTTTTGTTGTGATATGATCATAATTATGTGATTTTTAATAAGTTTTAAAATATAACATAAAGGTATGAAATTAGGTTCCGGTTGTTTGCGTTATCATGGACCTGGCCTTATGTACCCGGAAGTAGATTTAGTTCATCGTTACTCGGAACAGGATATATCAAAGTGCGTGTTTCAATGACTTTATTGCTGACACAATATAAAACGTAAAGTTTTATTAATCAAACGCCTTACTTTATTTTTTTCATGCATAATAGAATAAAAATAATAATATATTCATAATACGATAGTAAAAAAATGGTATGTTCACGGTTTTAGAATCTAAATACTTAATTTGTTAATTTGTTGAATAGTTGAAATAGTGTGTCACATTCTGTGTTACTCGTAAGGGAAAATCCATAACGATCTAAACCTTAACGAAACAATATTTTTTTTTTCACATTAACACCTGAAGATTTGATTGGTTCCGTCAAGATAAAAAAAATATGGAAAAATTATAAAATATTCATTAAGTTCTATTACATATGTATTATCCTCTATTGAATGAAATCTATAAGCTATAAAGTAAATTGAGCATTTATAGATGAATAACCAGCGGTTTTCATTTGACCGCAGAGAAAATGATATACTCGTAGTGTCAACAGGTAAATCACACCGACATCTCTAAGAATGACAAGATCATTTTGACGTCACACGGGATTTACCGTTTCTGTCCAATTAAATACATGGTCAAAAACTTGTGTGACAGCTTACGTCACCCTATTAGATTTTATTATATAAAAAGGGGGTTTAACTAACGGTTTATAGTGAAACTTAGCAATGGTTAAACCTGAAAATGATGAGTGATTGACGGATATACTGAATGTAATTGAGTCTCAATATTAATGTATCTGTATTTAGTTAGAGTATTATAAGCATACACTAAAACCATATTTTTCAAATATGTCTTAAGCGAAAATTTAAAAAACTATACTTAATCATACTTGATAGGCTTACAATATATTATACATGTATATCTTTACTAGCGACTTGACGAATTGATACGTTTTAACCCTTAGTATGGATTAGATAGAATATATATTATATTATATATGACGTTTCGCAATAAACGGGCTATCGAATGCAAAAAGAATTTTTCAAATCGGATTAATATTTCCTGAGATTAGCGCCTTCAATCAAACATACAAACAAACTTTGCCTCCTTACAACCTTAGTATTCATATCATAAGGCAGAATCATTTGGTTGTTTATTTAGCTAATCGACTAAATAAAGATAATATGTATGTGATATATTCATCTGTAAACTGGGTTACGCAATCGAATAATCGGTTATAAACTGATACTTGTATTTTTTTTTATTAAAATTTGACATCTGATGGGGAGAAGTTATTTTTTTATTTCTAGTTTGTAAACTTGAACTAAAAAAAAATGCAGGTTTCAAGGAGGCGAATTTTTCAAGGAACCATATAAATTAATAGATTGTTAACAATCTTCCTTGGAGGCAGAGTTACCAGTAAGAATGCTTTATGAAACTTAATTTTATTCGTTTTTATAATCATATATATAAACATTCCTCAAACATTTACACGGCTATTTAACGTATAATTAGAAATATTATCTCAAACCAAGTCCGTAACTAGTTAATATGCGTAATACATTAATTTTAAATAATCTCATTGTTCGCGTACTTATATATTGTGCTAATTTAAAATTTAATGTACCTAAGTTTTATTTTGCTTAGTAATATTTATATACTTATTTATATAATAAATATTAGTTTTAAAACAAATCAAGACTTATACAGATAGTAGATATGTTAGTATCCGGTGAATTTACTAATATGTATTTTAAGCTGTTATATTCGTTTCGGTGGAAGAGAATAATTTAACTTTTAAATTGTGTTTTTCAAAAGCTATACATATAAAATAATAAAAATGAAGTGAAATACCATTTTCTTGCAGTTTATAATCGATCAATATATATATATATATAAGATGCAAATAATCAAGCACATAGCTCTTCAGATAATAATGTAACAAGTACGAGTACTTACTATTTCAAATGCATGTTGTATTTAGAAATATATAAGTATCATATCATATACGTATGTATGTATATTATATAATGCTTATGTACGGCTGCACACTCGTAGGTCCTGGGTTCGAGTCCCGGGTCGGGCCCAGTTTGGTTATTGAGTCTTTCTGTATAGTAAGCCTCAGTAACAGCCCGGAGTTGGGAAGTTGGCGGTGTTTCACCCCCTGCCTCGGAGAGCACGTAAAGCCGTCGGTCCTGCGCCTTAACTTTCACTGGTCGTCTCGAGTGGTCGTCCCACCAGAGTATGAGAGTGACAGGAATAGAGCGTGCACTTGTATCTGCGCGTACACTTGTGCACTATAATATCTCCTGCGCAGTTGGCTAGTCTCAATGAGATTGGCTGCGGTGGCCGAAATCGGTCAGGAGAACATCACATCATCATGTACATATGTACATGATGTAGGATAACATAAACATTTTTATTATGGTTATTCATTTTATTTGTTTCAATTATTCTGCATTTAAAGAAAATAATCAGTAAATAATACATTTAAAATCAAAATTATGAATGCTTTAAGTTTTTAAGCATTGCCCTCAATCTAAACGTCATTTGTCAGTAACACATCATTCTATCAATTTTTATTCAAAGACCTACGCATATTAAAATTGTAACAATACCAAGTTGTAATCAAGTTACAGAAAAAAAAAACTTTTTAGAAGACATTTTGAATTTTGTAAAAGGCTCTTTCCTTTTCGGCTTAAATATCGCAATGGTATATTAGTCGTGAATGGCCTGATTGAGTAGTTTAATTTTAATGAAACTTTTATTTTAGAGGTAGGTACTAGTTTGAATTAAAAACAAAAGTTCTAAAAGTACAGCGTGAACGCCCCACTTTATGCGCGCAAAAGAAAATGATACTGTTTATACAATTAATTACTATCGTTTGTCTGTGACTTCACTCGCGTAGCTCATTTTTGTATATTCGCGATTCCTAAAAGTCGAAACGCTTCAATAAATATGTTACATAATACAAAATATTTTTTTCAGATCGGACAAACATTTCTGGAAATTAGCGCCCAAGAAACAAAAAATATATAAAATTTTTGGCTTTAAAGTTAATATAGGTATGTATAGGAATAAACACATAAGAACAAAAAATTGTTGGTTTTCTTTTTTAATGAATTAATTTAAAATTAACGTCAATAACAAATACCTAAGAGTTAAGACACCTGAGTTAAATAAAACATTCATATGTACAAAAGGTAAAAAGTAAAAGAAAAATTATCTAGATATGCGTTCATTTTTTACAGTTGACGTTTATTACATTTCGTTATTTATGTATGGAGTTTATATCTATACGAATAATTTGATTGGCAGAACTAGTTTTGTTAAAGAATAAATCTTTTTATTATAAACTAGCGACTCACCCTCGCTTCGCTCGGGTTCGTTCCTAGGTATGTTTTAATGTTTAGTATAGATTTTCAAGAGATAAGATATTTTCCCGCAATGAAAAGTATCCTATATATGTTGATATACCCGGCTAACCAGCTATTATCATATCAAATTTCATCAAAATCTGTCTAGTGATTTTCTCGTGATGCGTTCCCAGACAGACAGACAGACAAAAATTCTAATCGATAATAATAACTATTTAAATAAGATTTTCCAAACAATATTAAATGTATAGATTCGAATCAGTTTGAATTTTATTATATGTATAGGTTATAACTTAATCTATGCCATTAAAGATGGATATTAAAGTTGTATAGATAATAAAAATCTAACACTTTAATCATACATTTTCCTTAAACTGGGTATACCTGAAGCAAGTGTGGCGCAGTTTAGATTTTTGCTTGGAACAAATTTATTTCGTTATTCATTTGTCGACACGTTTCACACGCTCACTTTGTTGTGATTCTACTTGCTGTGCCAGCGGTCGCGGGATCGAGTCCAGCCGGGGCCATTCATTTGTGTGATGTGCACGAATGTTTGTACTCTAGTCGTGGGTGTTTATATTTATAATAACTATTTAAAGTTATATATGTATAATGGATTAAGTATCTGGTATCCATAACAAAAGCCTCGTAGCCTACCTTTACCTAACTAGATGGTACTGTGTGTTAATGTCCCAACATATTTATATTAATTTATATTTATTAATTATCATTAATAATACTATAATTTTAAAAATGTGTTTGTAGGTTCATCCTTCT